CAGATTTAGTTACTGTTGGTGTTGATTGAAGGGATATTGTGTTTTTTACATTTTTCTTTACAGATCTGGTATAATTTGCAGAGGAATTGATTTTTTGAATCAGATCTATTGGTCATTATTATTGTGCGAGGAATCAGATTTAAGTTCTATTAGAGAAGAGGTTTGGGGAAGAAGTAGATGGTGATTGGAGTGGTAATAGATGATAGGAGCAATGAGGGATGACCGGAGTAATGAGGGATGATCGGTGCTGATTGGGTTGCAAGATGAGGGATGACCAGAGTAATGAGGGATGTCAACTCATACACTTTTACATGTGGTTTTTCCATGTCATTAGTTGAAAAAAAAATTGCTTGATTTCGTGGCAACTTAACGTGCCATCTGGCACTTCCGTCGACGGAAGGACGAAATTGGTCCCAAAAATTGAAATTCAAGGATTTTTTTAGTACTTTTTGAAGTTTGAGGGTAGTTTTAGTCCAAAAATGAAAGTTTAGGGACTGAATCGGGGTTTTAACCAATAAACATCAGAAGCCTATCTGCTATGTGAGTAAGGTTTTACAAGGTGCAGAGCAGAACTACCTACTGGCAGAAAAGGCTACTTTTGCCCTGGTTTACACGGCTCGTAAATTGAGAGCTTACTTCCAATCACATCAAATTATTGTCTATACCAATCTACCGTTGAAGAAGATACTGCAGAAGCTGGAACTCTCTGGTCGGCTTATCGGGTGGAGCGTCGAGCTAAGTGAGTATGACCTCAAATTTCAGCCGCGCACAACCATAAAAGGCCAGGCCGTGGCGGACTTTCTAGTGGAGTGCCTTTCGGCAACGGTGGAAGAAAGGGCACCCGTATACCCGATTTGGGTCTTGTACGTAGATGGAGCTGCCAATATTGAAGGATCGGGGGCTGGGGCTATGTTAGTGGGCCCAAATGGCTTTAAATCGAAGCATGCATTAAGATTTAAGTTTCAGACAACTAATAATGCTGCAGAATATGAAGCCCTCATTTATGGCTTGACACTGGCCTTCGAGCTGAAAGTGCAGAACATTAAGGTTTTCAGTGATTCTCAGCTCGTTGTGGGCCAAGTAAATGGCAGCTGTGAAATTAGGGATCCTCAGCTTGGTCGTTATGCCTCTGTGGTCTACAAATTGAAATCAGGGTTTGCCTCTTTCCAGATCGACAAGATACCCAGAGTAGATAACCAACGAACTGACGAGCTATCAAAATTAGCCTCCTCACAAGATATCAACTCTCAAAGATCAACATTTGTGGAGGTACTTGACGCCCCGAGCTACACCGATTTCACAATCGAGTGTCAACTACTAAGCACAGACCCCTCTTCACCGAGCTGGACTACCCTGCTCATTGAGTATCTACAAAGTAGCGAGTTGTCTGAAGATCCGTCCACAACAAAGTTGATTAAATGCAGGGCAGCACATTTCACTCTGTTAGATAATCAGCTCTACAAGCGAGCAGCCTCAATGCCCCTACTACGTTGTCTTACTCCTTATGAAGCTGAATACGCTGTAAGGGAAGTTCATGAAGGAGTATGTGGCACACACATAGGTGGTAGAACTTTAGCTCGGAAACTCTTGAGGCATGGTTATTACTGGCCTACTATGGTCAAGAACGCATAGAGCTATGTCAAAAAGTGCTCGACCTGCCAGTTCAATGCTGATGATATTCACATGCCAGGTATCTGAGCTCGTTTTAAAGTTCGTGCAAACTTCATGTTTGTCTATAAACTGAGCATAAGTATCTTCGTTGAAACAGGAGAAATGCTCTCATCACTCTCATCACTCTCATCACCCTAGCCTTTTGCTCAATGGGGAGTCGATCTGCTCGGCCCTTTTATCAAAGGCAAAGGAGGTTGCACTTACCTAGTTGTCGTGATGGATTACTTCACCAAATGAATAGAAGCCAAACCATTATCCACGACAACGGAGAAGAAAATAGAAGAATTCATGTTCAATTCAATATTATGCGGGTATTCTTTGGTGACTTAAGCCATTTGTACATTGTATACACATATAATTTGTGGCTCAGCTCAGTCGTTTGTATACAGGTTCGGCATACCTAAACGGATCATCGCTGACAATGGTCCACAATTTCGAGCCGCGGCATTGCGGTCGTTCTGTAATGACTATGGCATTGAGCTCGCCTTGACATCTGTGTACTCCACAGTCAAATGGATAAGCCGAGTCCGCCAATAAAATCGTCTTGCGAGGCCTTAGGACGTGTGTTTTAGCTACACATTCTAATTGGGTTGACAAGCTCAATAAAGTGCTTTGGTCATGTCGCACTACACCCAACTCGGCCACAGGCGAAACCCCATTCAGCCTTGCTTATGGAGCTGAGGCCATCATCCCTGTAAAGGTCAGATTGCCATCTGATAGAGCAGGTCGGCATAACGATCCTGGCAATGAGCAACTTTTAAGAGAGAACCTAGACCTTGTGGAAGAGATCAGAGAGATGTCTCAAATAATAAACATGGCGCATCAAAGTCGTGTCGCCAGATTTTATAATAAGCGAGTCCGGGCTTGTCAATTTCAAGTTGGCGATCTGGTTTTGCGTAAGGCTGGGCTCACTAATGCTTACTCGCATATGGGGAAACTTGCACCGAACTAGGAAGGTCCTTATATGGTTATTTGTATTAAGCGACCCGGGTCTTATCAGTTGGCAGATTTACAAGGTCGTCCATTACTATTCATTTGGAGCATACATAACCTTAGAAAGTTTTATAGTTAAACATGTATATTATTATCTTATTCAAGTTGTTATCAATCAACTGTAAATGACAATGTACAGAAAATACACAACAATCAATACAGAAATTTCAAAAGAAAGTTCAAATTTGTATTTCATCAATGATTTTTACATTTGAAGTACATATTGAATGGATTCATTGATCAGTACAAAAATACAAAAGCAGTACAAAAAAGAAAAGAAAAATCCTAAAACTAATCATCCGTCAGATCGACGGGCATGGACACGTCAGTAGCAAGAGTCGATGAGCGAGCTAGAGACGAGCAAGTTACAAGCTCATGAGCTGATGCACTAACGGGCGACCTGGCTGGCACCACGGCGAGCTGAGAGTTGGGCGGAGTGCTCGATGGCTCCTGTTCAGCCACAGGAGCCCCTTCAACCCAAGAGTTGAAGGAGGGTAGGCCCGTTGGATCCTCCCTTTCCTCTAAGACTGAAGGAGGCCAGACAGGTACCCCCTCCTCGTTGAGCTCCCATCTCAACCGCACCGTGGCATCAGCAAGGGGAGTAAGGCTCTTACCCTGCTCGTCAAGGTCCTCCCCGTCGAAGAATGCCAGCTCGCGTATTGGGAAGTCCGGGCGATGTTGCAGCACCTTCCCACTGATCTCGTTGTAGATCTCCGTGGTCATGTTTGCAGACGCCACCGCCACAGCGTCTTGGAACGCAGCAGACCCCACCAGCCATTCTGCCCCTCGAGCTCGGGCGATGCTTACAGAGCGCCCGTGAGATGTCTTCAATTCATTCAGGGCCTCTTCAGCTTCATTGAGGTTCTTGGTGGCCTCGACAACCTGGTGCCTTAAGGAGCTCAGCTCATTCAGAGCATGGTCCCTCTCAGCCTCAGCCTTCTTAGCTTGTTCCTCAACGCGGGCAGCCTCATCCTTGGCTGCCTGGATCCCGCTCTCTTTTTCAGCGCAGGCCCTCTCCAGCTCCTCCCTGAGCTCATTGTTCCTGCTCGCAAGCTCTTCTGCTTGACTCTCTGCTGAAGCAGCTCAAGTGGCCATCTCCGAGCCTTACAGACGATTGACATCGTCCACTAGGTTAGCCTTTTCTGTGGCCAACTTGATGAGAACCCCAAAGAGAACAATGAGACCCACAACACGACAAGGGATTTCTGAACTCCAGGAAAGCTAAATCAGGTTTATGATAGGACCTTGACCCATTGTTTATGTCGCAACAAGAACCAAAGGTAAAAACCTTGACCCGTTGTCTATGACGCAACAAGAACCAGAGGTATAAAGTTGGTTGACGCCACACCC